AAATCAGTGACCTTTTCATCTGAACAAGATCCTTGATATTCCTTGCTCAGTTGGATCACTCCTCCATACTCCTCCCAGCCTGCGAATCGTAGGCGTGCAAATCGTTCAGATTGCCTCAACGAATCGCTTCGCGCCGCGCGAAGCCTCACGAAACTCACCGCCTCACTGAGCCCGCTGCTGCCGACCAATCCGCCAAAGATCAGCGTCACGTTGGTGGCCCACACGGCCGAATGATGGTACCGCGCCGTGGGCGGTGAGCCGCTGTAATCGGTGACTTCCCGCCAGGTGTTGGCCTGAGAGCCGTGGGCCGTAGAGCGTTCGTAGCTTTGGCTGTACTGGGTTTGATCAGGTCGTTACACAGTTTTCGGTGTTTTCCTGTCAGTGCCTCCACGGACCGACTGATCTGGACAAACAGAGTCAGCAGAAAGCCAGCGTACCTGGAGAAGCAGCAGGTCGAAATACGACGTTTGACGCACTCCACGCACATCAGTTCAACAAGTGGATGGCACCCCGTCGGCATGGCCAAGTGACCTCCCGCGACATGTGATGTGCAAACGTAAAATCCAGTGTTTCCAACGGAGCTTCCAACCAAGGGCAGCGCTTCAGGCGCAGGAGAGCTGATTTGGACAGAAATGCGAGCCGAAAACTTGGGAAACTATAGGAGCATCTCAGCATCTCTGACGTGTGCGAGTAATGTTGTTGCTTAAACGAGGTTTGTGAAACTCAGCTACATCCTGCAGTAATTCTTGAATATCATCTGGAATCTCTTCCTATAACCTATATATAACCGTCCTTCCTTCTGGGAAGTCGATTTTGCAGTTGGTGCTGATGGGTAAAACATTGCTTTTGCCTCAGGGCCGTATTTGAAAAGGGATGTATTTTGAACCATGAACTTTGTATTCAGAACTTGAAGCCGGGGCCACATGTGCTCATCAAAGCTATTCCCAAGTCATTTGACACGGTCCCACCTAATCGTTCCCATCAACACTTTTCCGATCGCTTTGATCCGCGTCGATCCTTTTGCGTGGAAGCATGGATCCTCAGCTCAGTGCCAGGGAGCCGGCAACTCATGGGCCATTCATCAAGTTGCGCCGATAACCAAATGCAGCCTTGCCCCATGCAGGATCATGTTCAAAAGTTATGAAGAAACGACCGCATGAAAACGTGTATTTCCCCAGATAGCGCGAGCTATTGGGGTTCTTACTTTAGGAACTGCATCAGCCTATTTGTCTGTTGACAGGTCAGGGCTAATTCAAAAATCCTCAAAACTATTCCTAAAATCCTCAGCGCTATTACTAAAATCCTCAGAGCTATTACTAAAATCCAGAGAGCTAGTCTTAAAAAAGTAATAATTAAAATTGATTGCGCAAATGTCCTGCTGTTGGCATTGTATGATTCTCATGTCTGGATTCCACTCTCAGACGCTGTTCCTGGGGCAAGTGTTTGGTGAGTACTCGTCGGCTGAGAGTCTTAAAACTAGCGTCTTGGGTGGAAAAAATGGTTCCGTTTCCACTCATCCCACACTCCAGTCCATCCAATCACACGCCTCATATTGCAGCAAAGTGTTTTGCTTTTTCAATTCGTTCTGGTAAACAATGAAGCTTTTGATTTGATAAGATGAAATAGTTCTAGAAAAGTCTATAAAAAATATACCGGCATAGACCCCAGATAGAACTTCAAGAAAAGTTGGATAGCGTGGAAAGAGCGGGAGACAAGCTTGGGAGACATCCCACTCAAAGCCTAAAACAAAATGGAAAAGGTAAACAAGACCTAAATCATCTTATAACAGCGTTCGCGTCAAAGGCAAACAAGAAAATGACAAGGCGGCAGCGCCAGCCAAGAGCGAAATCAGGAACAGAGACAAGCTTGGGAACCACGGCGGCAGCGGCAGCCAAGAGCGAAATCGTGAAGGGAGACAAGCTTGAGAGACAAGGCGGCAGCGGCAGGCAAAAGCGAAATTATGAAGGGAGACGAGGCCGCGGGCTTTTATGCAAGCGAATGCTGCGCACATCGATGGCTGCGGTCGTGAGCGGAATGCATGAGATCATGGCACCAAGCGACACGAGCAATCACTTAGCTTCACAACCTAACTTCATCACACAAGGTAGCTGGCAACAAAGCGAACCCAAAAAGCACCCCAAGGTGTTACAGTACATATCACACAGTAGACGATGTTCGTTTCCGACATGTTTCCACTGTGGCTTCAACCGGCGAACCTTCGGCGCAGTCAAAACACTCACCACCCAATTTTGCGATACGCCCTACCCAGAGTTTCTTTTAAAGGCTCCAGTGATGCGCTGAGTGCCCGGTTTTTACAAGGTGTAAGACTTCAAAAACCCGCATTGAGGTTCTTGAAAGTGTGAAGCCTATGCCTATCATACAGTATATCAAAGCTAAAACATTAGTTCAATAGGTTGAGCAGGCGAAGAGCGGCCATACAAATCGAGAAGGCCAAACAAAATCACTGGCCATTGAACTCACTATCATTCGGTATCATTCGGTGCAAATCATGCGTACACAGCCTGCAGGGTGTTTTTTCTCAAATCAGGGGTACATGTGAGGGGTTCAATCGGTTCACCCTTCAATGATTTAGTGGGTTCATCTACATGAAGAGTCCAGAAAGATTTCAAGAAAGAAAGAAAGACAGAAAGAAAGAAAAGAACCTTTGGATTGCGTTTGAAGGTTGAAGGTCAGCAGAAGAAGACACAGCCGCCATCGGGCCCATGTGAAAATCTGTAAACGAATTGTGAACCTTCATGGGCGGCTTCATAATCCCAGCCTCATTTCTGCCAGCAATAAGGAATTAATTCCTGGCGCTCTGCACGCACGTCGCAAACGTTTTGGAACAACAGGACAACCGATCTGCAACTTGAAGGCCTCAGCCTCCGCAGCACCAAGGGCGTCAGCGACGGCATGAGGACCTCAGGCAATCATAGCCAATCAAAATCATGGCAAATCCGAAGGAAATTGCTCGGGCCATGGCCTGCAGCTCGGATGAGGGATGCCGCCTCAATCGACGCGTTAAGGGGAAGCAAGTACAGTATAGGCACTCAGCGCCAAAAAAGATGGAAATTAGTCCTGAGAAGAGGCCCAAAAAGAATTGGATGATTGCGGCGAAGGCTTGGAACCAAAATAATTGGATGCTGTGGTTTGGATCATGAGTAACTGAGCACAGCCCCAGGGTCAGCATCTACTTGCGCTGTGAGATGTCCGGAGTTTAGAGCGCCCGAGCGTGGCTGAAACGCGCCCCATGGCCATGCATAGTGGGCGGTCCACTAGGACAAAGACTTAAATCGATCAGTCCGGGCGCTCTTGAATAGGTGTCAACCCCACAGAAGCCACACCATCCGTGCGAACTTCGTTTACCACGGACCTCTTATAAGGTTCACCATCGCGACTGTGAACTCGACGGCGCACGTGGATTGACCCAAAGGGCACCGGGCCAAATCCATCACCGCTGTGGCATTGGGTGACTGGACGGTTCCTCACATCCAGCATGCGACCAAGAGATTACACGTGGCTAGCACATGCTGAGACCAAGGCCCAAAAGTGGTGGGAGCCTGAGCAAAAAACAAATGAACAGAGTCGATGGTCGCAGTATGTCGCAGTAGCGTATGCATGTGGGGAGACGAGCGAACGAGCGACACGACGGAGGGATGGGAGGACTGGGAACACGTCTCAGGGCACTGCTGGTTGCTGGTGTTCGGGGTGCTTTCATGGGGGTGCATTGCTGGGAAGGGAAGTGCGTTTTGAAACACAGCAGGGCTCTGCGAGGCAAAAACTTCTGGACAAATCCCGACAAATAAAAAACTCCTGAGAGGAAGCTCTTTCACTCCACAAGTCACGGCACAAATTTGTGATAAGTAAAAATATCAAAAACAACTCTCGGGGATGGACAATGGAACACTTCTGGATAAGCACAGTGGAAACAATGAAACTGTCAAGACTAGACAGCGCGGGCAACCTGGCCTGCTATTTCGCCGGCGGCCGGCCGGACACCCAGGCAAATAGCGGCCGGCCGGCCATGTACTAGTACTAGTACTAGTCGTAGTCGTAGTAGTACTAGTAGTAGTAGTAGTAGTAGTAGCAGTAGTAGTAGTTTTACTTTGGTCGGCCGACACCTTCGTCTCTTTTCCGCCGACCGGCCGATTGTGGGTACACTTGAATGGCTCTCAACTTTTCTCTTCGGTTTATGCCCGTGATGCGCATGATGCGGATGATGCAAGTGATGCATTTGCATGTTGCAAATTCATGCGCACATCATGCGAACATACTGCAATCATCTTACGTTACTCAGACTTTCTCTTTGAAACTTGAATAGACTGAGCTTCCTTTTTTCTATCTTTCTTCATCTTTCTTCCTTTGACCTTTCCACCTTTCTGAAATTTTCCGATTTGGTGCCTTCAAGGCGAGGTGGACCTCATCCAAAGCCTTGCGACACTTCTGCAAACCCAAAGCCAAGAAAAACATCTTCGACATGAAAGAAAAGCAAAAGAAAGCAAGGAAAGGTAGAAAGAAAGAGATCGTGAAGTGTTGTGAGCCAGCGACTCTTTGGCAGTTCGTCCTGAGTTGGTCGTTGCGATGCTGGATATCAAGGCAAGTGATCTGATGTATGCGTGGGGCAAGGTTTTCTTAGCCTCCGATTTGTGGGTTAACCCTTCTAGGAACCAAACGAATAGTGCGTGAGCTTTCCTGCATCCTAGATAGTTGCTTTTCTTGCTACATAAGCCTACTAATTACGGCCTACCCCACCTATAATAACAGAATTGCACTTGCAAGTTGGAGGCCATTGCTAGTAGGTCGGAGGCCATCGTTACTAGGCTGGAGGCCATTGCAAGAAGCATTCTTCTTCTTTCGCCTTTCAAGGAAGGCAATGAAAGTCTGGCTTCGCACAGCGGGAGATTTGGGAAACGCATTCTGTGTCCAACGCAACTTGGAAAAGAGCAACGATTGTAAAAGAAGGGGAGTGTAAAAGAGCAACTGAACAACTTGGGAAGCAAGGCAAGCAAGGGAGTCCAAAAAGAGCATGGC